ACACAACAACTCGTCAAAGAGACAAGTGAAACCGATCCTTTGATCAAACGTGTGTTAAACAGTTGTGGTATCTCTCCTTCTGCCTTGGGCTATTCACATTTCCTATATCCTTCTATCACGCCTTCACTGTTAAAATTTTTACCGTGCTTATTTTGATGTAATGTGGTGTGCTCCTTTATGCGGCATTCATGAAAACCTCTTTACTCCACGCTGTCGTTCCTACCCCCTTTACCCTTGTGCTGGGATTGTGGCTCAGAGTCAGAATATTGTTACGCAGTCCTCCTTCCCTAGGTCTTATCACAGTCTCTCTCTTGTCCCGTAAAATCCTTGTATTAGCCCCAAAACGTTGGGGTTCTACATTGAGCCTAATCAAATCAAGCATTACCACAATATTTGTGGGTTAGCACTGGAGAAACTAAGCCATAGCAAGTCATAGACTTGGTATTACGGGTAGAAATAGGATTGACGCGGCGGACACTGCATCTAGTTGTCTGAGTAGGTATTACCAAAGACGTTGTCTATGTAGCAAAGGCTTGACCATGAGACTTACTCAGAGGCCTGAGCCTCGAATTAGTTACCCAGACGTATGGAAGGATGAATAACCCCTCTAGTAGCACAGATGGTGGGGTAGGGGTGGAGTGAAATACATGAACCAAGGAGATAGCTGACGGATCTTATGGGGCAAGAGAGAGACTGTGATAAGACTTTGGGAAGAAGGACTGCGTAACAATATGGCAGACTCTGATCCACATTCAAAACACAAGGGTGAAGAAGGTGAGAACGACAGTGTGGAGTGTGAAGGGTTTTAATGAATTCCGTTAAACGGACTACTCCACACTACATCGAAATAGGCACGGTACAAATTGTAACAGTAAAGGCGTAATAAGAGGATTCAGGAGAGGTGAATAGCCCAGGACAGGAGAGATACCAAAACTGTTTAGCACACGCTTGGTCAAAGGATCGGCTTCACTTGTCTCCTTGACGAGTTGTGTCGTGCTAAGACTGGCGAGACTCACTGACGATGACAGCGAAACTTCTGGGAATGTACTATGTTTACGGTCCGACTTTGGAGATGATCATGCATACAATGGACTCCGGACTAGGTGAGTTCCCCTAAGTCTTCCTACCAATATGACCCAGTTGCGAAAACAAGGTCAAACAAACTCCATAAATAGTTCCTACCTAATTTCCTACACTCGTTCCTCCTATTCTGAATGTTGGCTGTTTTGTTAATTTCTATTTTATCTCTAATTTCCCGCTTTGATGTGAAGTCCTGTATACCAAGAAAACTTTGTATTTTGGACTAGTCTATCGCATGTCTTGTATGAACGTTAAGGTGTCTACCTCCGTAACAATCATCACTTTTTTTTTCTTTTTTTCTTATTCTATCTAATCTCCTATTTTTTTCTGTTTCTCATATATCATCTTGAAATTTCCAGAAATATCGTCGTTTCTCCCTTCGAACCCGTTGTTCGACCAGTGCCTCGGGCATCGGTGCCATCGGCTGTTCCGATGATCTGTCTTGTTCTGAAGAAGCCGCTAGCGATGACATCGGAGCAACTAGCGCAAGTACAGGCATTCGAGCCCCCACCCTGTGTCCTAGCTCGCAGGCCTGTTCAACCAGCTCAGTCAGCCCTCATATTCTTAGTCTTATCTCTTCTGGTTTTACAGGGCATTTGTCTAGCGTTACAGGAAGGACTAGCCAACCGCCGCGTCCCACCTCAAACCTGCAGCAGCTGACTCCTACTCAATTTCCATCTTCTATTTTCCCTCCAGGAAGTACGGCCACCCAAGAAAACTCTGTTGGAAGCTCAACTTCGATATCCTGCTTCTCAGGGCCTTTCCGAGCCTCTAGTAATACTCTCTCTAATGTAAATCCTTGTGTTACTAGCAGTGTTGGAGGTATCAGCAGTAGCCTGGTGGAGTCCAGGGCGTCCCGACTGATATCAGCTCCATCAGACTTTCGGCATGTTTCGCACATGGGCCCTGAGATTGTTAGTGGAGCCTTAATTGATTTGGGGCCGGGGCCGGGTGAAGCACCACTCACAGAAGCTGAAAGGCTGGTAAGAGTTAAATCGGCTCTTGAGCAGGCATATTGCCGTCGCAATAACCCCCCTGTATCTTCCACCTCGTCGGGCACGCCGGTACCACCATCTGTGACTCAATTCATCTCGCCCGGACTAGCCAAGGTTTCCGTTGGGCGACCACAGACCACCGAAAGTCCTTCAGCAACCCAAATTACTCCGGTATTTCTTCCTTCGTTGTCACTTGCTGCCACAACCCTCCAATTTGCTGGCGAATCAAGTTCAAGCTTAGTAACGAACACAATTGCTCCTATGCCTCATAATGCTTGGCAATTCCAGAATAGAGTAAGTGTTGTTTAGTTCACTACAGATTTAATACAATGCACGTATTTATGCCTTTCCCACACATTTACGTGCAGATACTTCAATTCCCGTTTTTAAAATTGTTTAAAGCTTTATATCTAAAAATATATCAAGCACTGTTGTCACTATTCTTTTGTTTTGATTAGCTTTAATTATATAATAGTCGTGTCGAACTTTGAATGGTTAGCTTTCCACTTTATGTTTTTATTCCGCTAGCGTCACCCTCCATTTGACTACCTGAGTAAAATGCGGCGATTTCATCCTAGATCTATCAATCCCACCTATTTTCTATGTCCGTTTGTTATTTTTTCATGCCGATCCTGATCTTTCTACTATGTGTGTATATGATCATTGCCAGTTTCATATACTTTATTTTATAAACCTGATCAATAAAAAATGTTGCTCTTGTCTGGTTAAATTAATAATTATTTTACGCGTATTTTTTTGGACTCTAATCACTTCAGGGACACTTATAGAATTGTTTCCAGTGATTGACCCAAATAAAGTTAGTGCTTTTAATTGAATGCACAAAATTATTGTCTATATTTTCATATACCAAGCTCATTCTGCGTTCTAAAGATGATCATGTGAGTGGCTCTATGGATATTTTCAAATGAATGCTGCTATTCCTTAAAAACTTCGTCGAAATTTCATTCAGGGTGAAGCCTAGGAACCTACAAATATCTAATCGGAATCAACTCTTATTGGCTCAAAAACGCATAAAAATAATCTTGTTTTGTAAAAGTTTTTTAATCTCGTTTTTGCGATTTGGTCGTATTATCAGGAATATCTAGAGGAACGCATCATGTTCGGGACCCATAGTATCCAAGATAATTTACATAGTTGGACAATGGACCTGGTAAATTCCTAGAAGCTTCGCCAGCATGGTCAGTGTGACTTGATATTATTGGCACCACACTAGAATTCGTCAAAGAGGTAAGTGAAATCGATCTTTTTACCAATTTTCTGCTGAGCGGTTGTGGTATCCTTCCTTCTGTTCTGGTTAATTCGCAGATTATACCCTCATATCACGCTCTGACTATCACAGTTTATTACGTATTTAAACTAGGTTTAGGAATGCCCTTCGGAGTGCATTTGATGAGATTTTATTCCCTTCCCCT